AAACATTTTGGACTTTCAATTTAATATAGAAATCAAACTCTATTAGTGGGCATATCAGTTGATTGGGCTTTGCTAGCTCGTTGTATCAAAAGCAGCCAAAATGGTCTTGAGACATTCCATAGGCAGCTCTGGGGCTTTGTAGAGTCTACAGATATTGTAATTTTGCGTATTCAGTGTATAGTACAATTTAGCAGTCACTGTACACATATGGATAGACGAATACTGCTTAGAGCTACACATGCAACTCTTTCGAGTATGAAAATGGCTGCTGTATCGCAGTGATCGCATTTCTTGTGGCCGTCAAGCTTTCTCCTGGCGCACACACTTCATTTGGGCGCAGTTTGATCTGTGTGTTATTTATGGCTGCCGCAAATTAACTTTTCCTTCTGGCTGTCATGGAATCCAATTTGCCAATTGACGCCCGAACGCATTTGCTGGGTGTTTTGGGTCTGGCCTGGCTCGGGCTGGGCCCAAAAAGTAGTTAAAGCTGGCGACTTGGCGGCGCTCTGCTCATTTCAATTGAATTTATGTGCCGCCAACAGGCGCCACAAAAATGCAACTAGCCCGTTGGCTCATACATGCATACATAGGTGCCAAGAGTCCGGGAGTCCGGGAGTCCGAGCGTCCTCGACCGTGTCTGTCTGCTGATTTATGGCCCAAACGAAGTCTCCTTAGCGAATTGTGTCAGGAGAATTGGTATTGAACGTATTTGCACTCGAACTCGCACTCGCATTCACACTCCAAGGTGTAGCTGCAGCTCGGCTTCTTTATTAATCGACGGCAGGGCCAATCGACCGCCCACGTTGCGGGCTGGCTCGTAAAATGTGCCAAATGAAGTTTAAACTGCAATTCCGTTTGCATTTGGCTGCCTCCGCATTAGCTACCGCCTCCTGCCATACAAATGGCTGCTAAATAGCAAAAGTCAACAACAACAACAACAATAACAAGAAAACAGCAAGCGGCAAAAAATAAAATAAAACAAGAGGCCAACTACCGGGACGCCTACGCTGTCGCCGGCACGTCCGCTGCACTGCAGCATGTGTCAGCCCATCAGGCCGTCCCCCCCTCGATGCCCATGCACATTGCCGTAGTCATTCCCACTTGAGCTGCTGTTGTCAAATTTGCGCTGCCTGCAGCACTAATGACGCCCTTAATATGCTCCAAGTGCCTGCCTGCCTGGGCACTGGGCCGGCTCAGAGTTGTTGGCGGCGCGGCTGTTGACTTGGCTGATAGCCATTTCCCACTACCTGTTCCCTGTCTCCCTCTCTCTCACTCTCTCTTATTTTCATTTGCGCAAATTTGTTTTCAAAGTCGTCGCCGTCGTTGTAGACACGCCAAAATCAAACGAAATACTTTGTCGGCTTTGCAAACATATTTAGCCAAACATTTCAGTTTCTTTGCCCTAACTTGTTTTCA